CTTGTGCACCAGATGTGAGGAGCTGCGCTATGCGAGAGAGCAGCGCCAAACGAGAGAGAGAGAGAGGAAGGAGGGCGCTGGCAGGGGAGAAGGCAGCCGCGCCAGTGCTAGGAAGCTTAGAGCTAGTGTGGCTAGATGTAGCAGAGCAGTGGGTAGTATTCAGCATTGATCCTCACGAGTGTGTTAGTAGTAGGGAGTGCGCATGTGAGAGAAGAAGCAGATTGTGCGGCGAGAGAACCAGACAGATATGAGAGAAAGGGAGAGGAAGGCATGGTGGATACTCACCTGGAGGGTGCCGAACTTGGTGTGGAAGACGAGCGCTGATGACCGCAGTTGTTGAGACTCTCGATGATCGAAGAAGACGTATGAACTTGTTGAGCGCTGGACAGTCGAACTCATGATTCTTTCTATAATCTGGTTGTGATAATTGAGCTGCGTTATCTGGTCTAATACTCATCTTCTCTTGTGCAATGTGTGTGATAAATCAATCCGTGAATCTGTGAGTCATGCATGCTGGCTTGAGCACTCCATCGTGTGGTGAGTTCTGAGGCTCATTACAGCAGAACCATAGCAGTTTTCAAAAAAAAAGAAACAAGATAAAAAACCCTCGGAGTTCACCTGGGGCCAATCAGTTCAAAGACTATCTCAAGGCCATCGCCTTTTTCAACAAAAAACAAAAAAAAACAAAGCCTAAAAAAAGGACAGGATGTTAAACTCCCGACGATCCGTCAACCCATTTGAGCATTCACTCCCACCCTTTGACACACACACAACAACGTGTAACTGGTGCACTACACACCCATACGTACCCGGGAGCAGCCATTGCCATCGGAAGGGGCATCGCCATTTGCATCCCACCCATCGTAGGGACAAAGACCGGGCCCTGCACCACCAAGAGCTTCCAGCTTCAGTTGTCTTTCAAAGAAACCAATTGTGCAGCAGAAGCATTTTGCCAAAACAGGAATGTCAGAGATGGTGGTTAAGAGGGGTAAATATAAAAAATTGTCACCCACCTGAGTTTGGACATCCTAAACTTAGTCCAGTTACAGGACATCCTAAACTTAGTCCAGTTACAATGTACAGGTCATACCAGTCCCAGCGTCAGTTGTCTTTCAAAGAAACCAATTGTGCGGCAAAAGCATTTGCCAAAACAGGAATGTCAGAGATGGTGGTTAAGAGAGGTAAATAATAAATATCAAAAATTGTCACCCACCTGAGTTTGGACATCCTAAACTTAGTCCAGTTACAATGTACAGGTCATACCAGTCGGGCATACACCAGCCGGGCTAGCTCAGTTCAGGATTAATTCCGATGTGTATTTTATTTTATAATTTTTATTCTCATTTCTTCCTTACACCGATGAACTGTTACAAGCTGAAAGACAGAACTGAGATGGAATCCGGATAGAATCAGATGCGCAAAAGTAAAACATTAACTCCGATTTTACCTGGGGATGGGGCTAAGCATTAATTCAACGATGATAATCTCAAGGCTGTCTCCGGTTTTGAGGAAAAAATGACAGACCCGCCTAAAAGCACCCTCCAGATAGATTGCGATACGGCTAGACCAAGCTGATTCCCAAGCCTGGGGGAACATTTTCTGTCAAGCAGCCTTTCACTCAGTCCGTGGTCCCCGCATGATGGGGTCAGAGACGACCACCTCTGACTCGTGAAATAATCCCAAGTAGACCAACAGATCCCCTTTGCATCCTGTTTTGCTTCCTCCCCATTCGAAACAGACACAGGCGTTCCGTTACATCACGCTTGCGTCAATCGGTAGCAGAGCTCAAAATTCGCCCTTTGCAACAAAAGTCATCGACTCTTCAGAGAACTGCAACAACGTCGACAAAAGGCATCGGCTCTTCACTCCATTCACTGCAACAAAAGTCCTTTTCTTTGTTGTCCAGCAAGAACACAAAATTCACCCTTCGCTTTGCCTCCCTTTCCCAAGCAGATCAGACCAACCGATGCCTCATGAGTGGTAGGCACTGACGTAGGACGGGGGGAGAAGGGGTGCACTGCAGAGAATTAACGAGCGGAAGGGTGGGAGGACGTCTCAGAAGGGGTAGGATTAAACCACTAGTACCTTTGCCGCGTGGGAAAATAGCGGGCCTCGGGTAGGCGTCCGACCAATTCAGAGGCCGAAACGAAACGACGGCAGCCGATCAGATTTATCAATGGCAGTCATCGTCGGGCCCGACCTCCGAATATTCAGGAGTTTGGGAAACAGCCAGTTTTCCCTATCTTCCCACGCGGGAAAGGTACTAGTGGTTTAAGAAAAAAAGAAAAAAAAACAATGCCTGTTCAAACGAATCAAATGCACAAAAACATTGGCAAAACCAACTGCCCTAGCTCAGTTGGTAGACCCCTTTACTGTTGAAACTTGAAACACAAAGCCGAGCTCGGATTCCGCTGGAAGCAGATGAATGAAATACTACAATTATGAATTACCTACAGCGGGGAAAGCCAGTTCGATGATAACATCTCAAAGTTGGCATCTTTTCAAGGGGAAAAAAAAATAATAATAAAAATAAAATCAGCAAACAAAAGAGGATAGAATGTGTGATGCTCCTGATCACTTTCCATCTGAAACTGCCACAAAGACCTGCAGCAAATGGAGCTATCACAGTCAGTTACAGAAAAAAAAAAAAAAAAAAAAAAAAAAA